AAGAGCAAAATTGTAGATGTTAACGTAGTTAACAGTCGCAATATGCTGTAACGACGCAAACTCGGGGATGCAGCGACAAAAGAACCATTACCTAACAAAAGTAGGAAACTCTTGTAATTTGAACAATCACCAAATAGTTCATAGGAAACTCTCTTGTAATTTGAACAATCACCAAATAGTTCATCCCATTATAATTGTTTCTTTCATATATTTAATTGAATTTAATCAAGAATTAACAAATGTAAAACTTTCAGACAAAAGGCAAACTCTTTTAGACATTTTCTTTTTCACATTGAGACTTCAAGTTATAACCCTTTCATTTATTGTGTTAAAATGTTGTCTTAACTAAATGTGAGGTATATTAGTAGTAAGTACTTGAAATTGGTTTTATCGTTCACTTAGTTCAGTTCTTTTTTAAAAAAGATTTTTTAGAAAGAAAAAAAAAAAGATTAAATGCTGATTCCAAATCTAGTAACCTGATTTCTACAATTTAGTTGAATTTCTGGTCTCATTTACTTTTTACCAACTAACCTTTTTTGCAAAAGTATTTTTTTTACCATGGAGATGATTAATAATAAGGGTATGCAATGTAATTTTTTTTTGTCTGGAGATATGACATATGAGGAGATAAGAAAGAATCGAATCATTGACAATTATTGTTTCTGATACTGCAAGAAATTGGAGAGCTCTTCACGTTCTTTGCACACGTGTGTGTCCAACATCACACGCCATATAAACCGGGATCCCAAATGTATCCAGAGATGACCACGTGTAATCTGGTTTGTGGTAACCGGAATCTCTCAGCAATAATTTTTTTTTATAACTGTCATGATACTGATCACATTCATGCACGCGTGGATCATTTCTAATTTTAATTACAAGTGCACTACTAGGCTCCGAATGGGAGAGTGGGACAAAGACAGATAAATAACAGAACAGTTGAACCACTTATTTGTTACCCATTCACTGAAATGTCAAATCAACAACATAAAAAAAAAAAACTGACGAACCACATGTAGGACAAATTTCATGAAGATAACCATTGTCCCACTTACAAATTTTCCTTCACTTGCGTAACAGAGTAATCCGTCCATTGTTTCGCATATCTGCCTTTTTTTTTTGTTAAAAATTATCAAAAAAATTGGCTTATAAATTATGAGAGTTCAACTTCAAACCA